TGCCAGGCAGTAAATAGGCAGCAGGCCCTGACTGTAGTAGATGTTATCTGCACCATGGGGGCCTTCTGCATGCTCACCAGCACAATTACGAGAAGCAAGAGAATGGGAAGAAGAAGAGTGCCCCTCAGTGTCACGCCTCCAGGCACACATGCGGTGCTGCCTGTCTTGCTCTGTGCAGAGACCACAGTGGTTCCAGCCTTCAGTGCAGGGAGAAGTAATGGAGGGCACTGATGACCAGGCGGAAGGAGAATACATAGACCAGTGAGATGGATTACAGATCACAGTTATAACCCATGAGTCTCCAGGGACCCTCCTCGCCTACGACAGCAGTGAAGAGGAGGAGGAACGCCAGGGAGAAGAGACCCAAGGCCAGCAGCCACCTCAGTGGAGGGACCCCACAACTTCAGTTTCTCTGTGCACACACTCAGAAACCCCTCAACCAGAAGATGGCCAAGAGACTGCCCCCTGCGAAGTCCACTCCAAGGCTGAGCAGCACAGGGCTGAGTAAGTGCTGGCTAACCAGCTCGATTGTCACCTGGTGGCCCATCTGATGGCAAGAAATGAATACAAATGCCAGCAAGAAGATCCAACCTAAAGATTGGCAATGTGGACCTTAAATTCTTGTTTTGTCCTTTCACCAGACAATAAGAGCCATCTTCATTGTGGAAGTTCTGCTTTTTTTTTCCCTAAATAATTTTTTTTGGGTAATGACACGCATTTTTTTGAAGATTTTTTTTTTGACAGAATGGACAGTGAGAGAGACAGAGAGAAAGGTCTTCCTTTTCTGTTGGTTCACCCTCCAGTGGCTGCTGTGGCCGGCATACCTCGCTGATCCGAAGGCAGGAGCCAGGTGCTTCTCCTGGTCTCCCATGGGGTGCAGGGCCCAAGCACTTGGGCCATCCTCCACTGCACTCCCTGGCCACAGCAGAGAGCTGGCCTGGAAGAGGGGCAACCGGGAGAGAATCCGGCGCCCAGACCGGGACTAGAACCTGGGGTGCTGGCACTCCAGGTAGAGGATTAGACTATTGAGACGCGGCACTGGCTGAGTCTGTTTTTTTTTTTTTTTAAAGATTTATTTCATGTATTTGAAAGACAGAGTAACAGAGGTGGACACACACACACAGAGGTCTTCCATCCACTGGTTCACGAGACACACACACACACACACAGGTCTTCCATCCATTGGTTCACTCCCCAAATGGCCACAACATCTGGAGCTGGGCCAATCCAAACCCAGGATCTGGGAACTTCTTCCAGGTCTCCCACATGGGTGCAGGGACCCAAGCACTTGGGCCATCCTCTGCTGCTTTTCCAGGCCATAACAGAGAGCTGGATTGGAAGTAGAGCAGTCTGGACTCAAACCAAAGGCCTTATGGGGTGCTGGTGCTACAGACCAGGGCTTTAACCTGCTGCACCACAATGCTAGCTTCCAAAATGTCTGATTTTTATCACAGACTATAGGCACCCTACTGTCCTGTGGAACATCAGGACATTATGTTCATTTGATTGCATCTTGGTACCATCTGTGATAAAGGAAATAGAAGGGCTAATAGCCTGCTATGATTACTTTATGTGTACATCTGTTATAAAATTGCACTGTAGGGGCTGGCGCTGTGGCATAGCAGGTAAGGCTGCTGCCTGCAGTGCCAGCATCCCATATGGGCACCGGTTCAAGTCCCAGTTGCACCACTTCCAATCCAGCTCTCTGCTATGACCTGGGGAAGCAGTAGAAGATGGCCCAAGTCCTTGGGCCCCTGCACCCATGTGGGAGACCCAGAAGAAGCTCCTGGCTCCTGGCTTCAGATCAGTGCAGCCCCAACTCTTGCAGATGACCGGGGAGTGAACCAGCAGATGGAAGTCCTTTCTCTCTCTCTCTCTCTCTGCCTCTGCCTCTGCCTTTCCTTCTCTCTGTGTGTAACTCTTTCAAATAAATAAAAAAAAACTTTTAAAAAAGAATTGCACTGTACCCCATAAAATGTAGTTATGGGGCCAGCACCATGGGGTAACAGGTAAAGCTGCTGCCTGTGATGCTGACATCCTATATGGGCATCGGTTTGAGTCTCGGCTGCTCCACTTCAGATCTGGCTCCCTGCTAGTGTGCCTGGGAAAGCAGTGGAAGATGGCTCAAATCCTTGGCCTTTGCCACCTGACCACCCACATGGGAGACCTGGAAGAAGTTTCTGGCTCCTGGCTTCGGACAAGTCCATCTCCGGCCATTGTGGCCATTTGGGGAGTGAGCCAGAGGATGGAAGACTCTCTCTCTGTTTCACCCTCTTTCACTCTGTAGCTCTCCCTTTCAGATAAATAAATACATCTTTTTTTAAAAAAAGTTCAGGTGTTTCATGTTCATCCAAAATTGAAATAAAATATAAAAAGCTTTTTTATATACAATTTTAAAATTGTTTCATATCTGGTCAGGCTGAACTTATTAAGAACCTCATTTTTAATTTATAAGAAAACCTTACAACTAGATTTTTCACAGAAGTCAGTAAACTACAAGTACTTGTTAATACTTGTAACAATAACAATAGTAATAATGTAATACAGACATGCACTTTAGCTTAAAGAACTTCATTTTTCTAGATTTTATACATTATAAATACATTATACATATATCTGATCCAGATCTCTGCTATGGTCTGGGAAAGCAGCAGAGGATGGTCCAAGTCCCTGGGCCCCTTCACCCACGTGGGAGACCCAGAAGAAGCTCCTGGTTCCTGGCTTTGGATCAGCCCAACTCCAGCCATTGCAGCCATTTGGGGAGTGAAGTAGTTGATGGAATACCTCTCTCTGTCTCTGTCTCTCCCTCCCTCCTTCCCTCCTTCTCCCTCTCTCCCTCTCCCCCTCTTGGTCCCCCTCTTGTAACTCTACCTCTCAGATAAATACATAAATCCTTAAAAAATACTATGTATAGGGCTGGTGCCGCAGCTCACTTGGCTAATCCTCTGCCCGCTGTGCCGGCACCCTGGGTTCTAGTCCCGGTTGGGGCGCCGGATTCTGTCCCGGTTGCTCCTCTTCCAGTCCAGCTCTCTGCTGTGGCCTGGGAGGGCAGTGGAAGATGGCCCAGGTCCTTGGGCCCTGCACCTGCATGGGAGACCGGGAGGAAGCACCTGGCTCCTTGCTTCGGATTGGCACAGCACACTGGCCGTAGTGGCCATTTTGGGGGGTGAACCAACGGAAGGAAGACCTTTCTCTCTGTCTCTCTCTCTCACTGTCTAACTCTGCCTGTCAAAAAAGAAAAAAAAGTACTATGCATAGAATTCAACTAAATTTTGTACCCAATGAAGTTATCTTTTAATCCTACTTTTATTATTTTATTTTATTTTTTAAAAGATGTATGTAAACAGAACAGATTTCATGCATTTCATATATACAGTTTTTTTAGATTTATTTATTTATTTGAAAGAGCTACACAGAGAGAGGAGAAGCAGAGGCAGAGAGAGAGAGGTCTTCCAACCACTGGTTCACTCCCTAATTGGCTGCAATGGCTGAAGCTGTGCCAGTCCAAAGCCAGGAGCCAGGAGCTTCTTCTGGGTCTCCCACGCAGGTGCAGGGGCCCAAGGACTTGGGCCATCTTCCACTGCTATCCAATGCCATAGCAGAGAGCTGGATTGGAAGAGGAGCAGCCAAGACTAGAACCGGCGCCCATATGAGATGCTGCGCTTCAGGTCAGGGTGTTACCCGCTGTGCTACAGCGCCAGCTCCTCATATATACAATTTTAAGCATAGTGATACTTCCCACCGTCCCCCCTTTTTTTTTCTTATGATTTTTTCAGTAACATACTTTTCAATTTACTTTATAATCACAGGCTTAATCCTCCACTAAATAAGGAATTCAGCAAGTAGAAAGAGCACTGTTCCTCAGGAGTATAGTCCAGGGCTATAACAGGAATCAAATCTCAAGATGTCAACTTCACTCATATACATTTCTGTGTTCTGCTTTTCATGAATGTTTCAAAGTACTTTTATAGAATATAGTCAACGTTCTTTTTCTCATATAACTTTCTCCATTAATGGCAAATGAGATGGGCGTGCATGCTGCCATTCTGCATTTTTAAATATTGCCACCAAAGAACTGAGTTTAGAGAGAAGTCTGGCATTTTCCTCCTAAGAGAGAATTGTAAAAAGTGGCGGGTAGGTCATGTGTGGGTTTTTTCCACGTTTCAGTCACTTTTACTTGGGTACATTTGACTCATGTCCTGCACCTGGGGAACAACACTCCTTCCTCATTCACGGAATTGAATGCTTATACACGATTTCACTGTTTTTTTCTTTTTCCCTAATGGGCAAGCTCTACTAAGAAGGGAATGAGACTCAGAGACTTCCAGCTGATTATCCTCGCCGGAGCATAGTCACAGCCCCCAAGAAACCAGCTCTCCGTGCCCTGAATCATGACTGCTGAAATTTACATTGCAGTGTTTAGCTTCCCAAAGGGTGTAATTACTTTCTCCATGATACTCAGAGGTTGAAATGACCTAAGCAAAGCATTCTCCTCCCATCCCTTCCTCTGATGTGTGGCAAAGCAAATTTCATTTATAGCAACTAGAAATTCCAGCAGCCTGGTCCTTGCTGGCAGCTGGCAGATGGCAGTGGGACTGGCAGAGGGATGCTGCTGGAGGGGAATCAGAGCTCAGCAGTTCTGCCCTGTGCTGTGCTGGGCAGAAAAAAAAAGTCACTGCTTCTCGTCCCATCTTCCTGCACCAAAAGTCTGAGAAATGGGACACAGGTTTTTAAAGTTCTCAGTGTGCCATAATGGTTATCAGAGGTACTGCCCCACCCTGTCCTCTTGCTGGCTAAGGCACTTAAATCAGGCCAGAATAGTTGGAGCAAAACGCTTTCTGAAGGACAATGCAGTCATTCCCGAAATACACACCCTAAAACCCAGTTGTGAAGGTTTCATCCGCATTTCCTAGTTGCTCAAAATCGACTGTGCCATTATTCCCACATTTTCTGTATCCTTCCTCACTTCTGATCATTTTTCCCCCTTCACTTTGTTTCAGGCCTCATTGTTGGGGTGATCCTGAGATACGGCACCCCTGCCACCAGTGGCCGTGACAAGTCCCTGAGCTGCACTCAGGAAGACAGGGCCTTCAGCACCTTGTTAGTGAACGTCAGCGGGAAGTTCTTTGAATACACCCTGAAAGGAGAAATCAGCCCTGGCAAGATCAACAGTGTGGAGCAGAATGACATGCTGCGGAAGGTGAGCTGGGGACGCGACTGTCCATGCCATGGTTGGTGATTCCCTGACTTTGCCTTGACGTTGTGCAGATAAACCTTTCCAAACGCCTGGAGTAGCAGTGACATTCCTGGCTCGCCATTTTGTTTGGAAGCTTTGGGGCCATGATGGTGAGAGGGAGCCAGCCCTTAACTTGAGCCTTCAGCTTTGTGACCTTCGTGGGCTTGTTAGGATCTGTAGCTGAGGGAGGACCCTGCCTGTACAATGGGTTTGTAATCACTGCTCAGCTTGTTTCTTCAACTATCATTTCCCTATTACCATGTCCCTGGCCCTCACTATGGTTTAAGGATGAGATTGTTTCTTTCTTAACGTAAGATTGATTTTACCGTTAGCCTATTTATTCAATACAAAGAATGTAATTCTTTGTTCTCCATGTTCTATAAATATTTGAGAACTTACTCTCATTGATAATTTATGCTAATGGCTAAATGAACATTCAGGGGAAGAAGAATGTCTTGTTGGAATTTTGAGTCTGGGGTGGATATTTGGTACAGTGGTTAGTTAAGATAATGTTTGGAATGCCTACATGCATATCAGAGTGCCTGGGTTTAAGTCCCAGCTCTGCTTCTGATTCCATCTCCCTGCTAATGTGCACCTTGGGAGGCAGCAGGTGACGATGGCTCAAGTACTTGGGTTCCTGCCATCCACATGGGAGACCTGGATGGAGTGCCTGGCTTCAGGCTGCAGCCTGGCCCGGCTCTGGCTGTTGCAGACATTTGGGGAGTAAACCAGCAGATGGAAGTGCTTACTTTCTCCCCCCACCCCAACTCTTAAAATAAAAATAAGTAAACAACAAATGTATAGAAAAGAAATTTGAGTCTGAGCATTGTTTTCTCACTTGATATTGTTTTGATATCAAAACTACCCCATGGAAAGAAGGGTTATGTATGTCGTCATGCAGGTGATTTCCAGGATAAGCAAGAGGTCTGTAGTAACTAACATGCATTCTATTACCTTGTAGGCCCAGGGCTTCTCAGCAGGAAGTCTTTTGTGTAGTGGTCTAGGAGATCCAGCTTGTGGGGAACTCCTTTTAATAAAGAACAAGGCTAATGTGTATGAAGGCAGGTTACAGAGTATACTCCAAAAAAAAAAAAATACTGTTTTCAGATCCTCCCCTAATCTTTAAAAAAAAATTGTTCTCAACCTAGAGCATTAAACATGACCAATCTCTGTTTCCCTAATGGTAGTACTAGTGTGCCGTTTGCTCTCACGTGGCATTTCCATAAGCATTGTGAAATTACATGCAACTGAGGAGAGCTACCCAGTGGAAAACCATGCTAATAGCTCTTGAAATGGCAGCTTGTTTTCTTCTTGCTGCATAGGAAAGGGGACACGTGGGAGACCATACCAACCGATTGCCATCTTTTAGATTGTAATAGAAGGTGAGGCTGGCTATTGCTCTCTTTATCCTTACAAAAACTATTCAAAACCCTACTGCTTAAAACGTTGCCACACAAGGCAAAGAAAGATGAGCGAATAAACCAGGCTGAGATTGCTGCTGCTGCTTTTTTTTTCATTTTTTTTAACTTTTATTTAATGAATATAAATTTCCAAAGTACGACTTATGGATTACAATGGCTTCCCCCCAATACCGTCCCTCCCACCCACAACCCTCCCCTTTCCCACTCCCTCTCCCCTTCCATTCACATCAAGATTCATTTTCAATTATCTTAATATACAGAAGATCAGCTTAGTATACATTAAGTAAGGATTTCAACAGTTTGCTCCCACACAGAAACATAAAGTGAAAAATAATAGATGATTTTTTTAAATGATGATGAAATCAGATCAGACCTATTGTCATGTTTAATCCCAGTGAGAGTCAAGTTGGGAATTGATAATTTCTTCTTTTTTTTTTTTACAGAAGATCAGTTTAGTATGCATTAAGTAAAGATTTCAACAGTTTGCACCCCCATAGAAACACAAAGTGAAATATATTGTTTGAGTACTCGTTATAGCATTAAATCTCAATGTACAGCACATTAAGGACAGAGATCCTACATGAGGAGTAAGTGCACAGTGACTCCTGTTGTTGACTTTACCAATTGACACTCCTGTCTATGGCATCAGTAATCACCCTAGGCTCTTGTCATGAGTTTCCAAGGCTATGGAAGCCCTCTGAGTTCACTGACTCTGATAACTTTTAGACAAGGCCATGGTCAAAGTGGAAGTTCTCTCCTCCCTTCAGAGAAAGGTACCTCCTTCTTTGATGACCCATTCTTTCCACTGGGATCTCACTCGTGGAGATCTTTCATTTAGGTTTTTTTTTTCCCCCAGAGTGTCTTGGCTTTCCATGCCTGAAATACTCTCATGGGCATTTCAGCCGGATCTGCATGCCTTAAGGGCTGATTCTGAGGCCAGAGTGCTGTTAGGACATTTGCCATTTTATGGGTCTGCTATGTATCTCACTTCCCATGTTGGATCATTCTCTCCCTTTTTGATTCTATCAGATAGTATTTGCAGACACTATTCTTGTTTATGTGATCCCTTTGGTTCTTAGTCCTATCATTACGGTCAATTGTGAACAGAAATTGATCACTGGGACTAGTGAGATGGCATTGGTACATGCCACCTCGATGGGATTGAATTCGAATCCCCTGGTATGTTTCTAACTCTACTGTTTGAGGTAAGTCAGCTTGAGCATGTCCCGAATTGCTGCTGCTTCTTGAGGAGGGAAGAAGGCCTTGGTTGACAGGAGGAACATGGGACTGGATGTGAGAAAACCCTTCTGCTGCTTTATACATTACTGGGCTTGGTGAGTTGCCGCAAGTCCTACCATCTTTGGCCTGTTTCCTCATGTTGGGTAGGCATTGTCCAAGGCTCCTTCTCACTTTGACCTTCCCTGCTTTGCACATCAGTCTCATCTTAGCAAAGACATAGAATAAAGCACAGCCTTATGGAACAAATCTGCTTTTCATTAGGCTGATTAACAATCCCCAATTTCTAAAGAAAAGGCTAAGTTTTTAATCATTAGAACAAAGCCGGCGCCGTGGCTCAATAGGTTAATCCTCCACCTTGCGGCGCCGGCACACCGGGTTCTAGTCCCGGTTGGGGCGCCGGATTCTGTCCCGGTTGCCCCTCTTCCAGGCCAGCTCTCTGCTATGGCCAGGGAGTGCAGTGGAGGATGGCCCAGGTGCTTGGGCCCTGCACCCCATGGGAGACCAGGAAAAGCACCTGGCTCCTGGCTCCTGCCAGGATCAGCGCGGTGCGCCGGCTGCAGCGGCGGCCATTGGAGGGTGAACCAACGGCAAAGGAAGACCTTTCTCTCTCTGTCTCTCTCTCTCACTGTCCACTCTGCCTGTCAAAAAAAAAAAAAAAAAAATTAATCATTAGAACAAAGATTTAAAACAATTGAAATAAAGACCAATGAATCTACTGACATGACACAATTCTTCAAAAAGGTTAACGTGTTTGTAGAATGCTTCATTCTTTTCTGGGTATTATAAGACTTTTCTGTTTAAAAGTTTGAGACTGGGGCTGGTGTTATGGCACAGCAGGTTAAGTCACCGCTTGCAATGTTGGCATCCCATATCAGAGTGCTGGTTGGAATTCTGACTGTTTCTCTTCCTTTTTTTTTTTTTTTTTTTTTGACAGGCAGAGTGGACAGTGAGAGAGAGAGACAGAGAGAAAGGTCTTCCTTTGCCGTTGGTTCACCCTCCAATGGCCGCCGCGGCTGGCGCGCTGCGGCCGGCGCACCGCGCTGATCCGATGGCAGGAGCCAGGAGCCAGGTGCTTTTCCTGGTCTCCCATGGGGTGCAGGGCCCAAGCACCTGGGCCATCCTCCACTGCACTCCCTGGCCACAGCAGAGGGCTGGCCTGGAAGAGGGGCAACCGGGACAGAATCCAGCGCCCCGACCGGGACTAGAACCCGGTGTGCCGGCGCCGCTAGGCGGAGGATTAGCCTAGTGAGCCGCGGCGCCGGCCCCTGACTGTTTCTCTTCCAATCCAGCTACCTGATAAGGTGCCTGGGAAGGCAACAGATGATGGCCCAAGTACTTGGGTCTGTGCCACCCCTGTGGGAGACCCATATGGAGTTCCAGGCTCCTGGCTTTGGTTGTCCCCGTTTGGGGAATGAACCAGTAGATGAAAGCTCCCCTTCCCCCATCTCCCTCTATCTGTCACTCTGCCTTTCAAATAAATAAATAAATCTTAAGAAAAGCTTCAGACTGCTTTTCATGTATCAAACCTACAGGTAATTTCAGTCTCTTCAGAGTCACTGAGTTTGTGACTTTGATCTAGGCCACTCACGTAATACAGAAGACTAGTCCCTGAAAAGAGACTTAAATTTAATAGAATTATGTCTATAAAGGATTCTGTGAGAGGATCCAGAACGTTAATAAAGAACCAGGAGAGCATCTATTACTGCAGTTGAACACTTATAACGATGTGATAAAAATCAAGATGTTTTTATTTCTTGTTGAAAAACATTGGCCAGAAGCTTCCTGTGAGTTCTGAAAAATTGCACTGAATGGCTATTTCTTAATATGTATTGAAACGGCACACCAAGATAGTTTTGTTATGAGCCAGAAGTGCTGTGAGGAGAACATTCCAGTCCACAGGAGAGTTGTGGCTGCTCTTCTGGAATGAGTTCATGATTTTTCACATTTATGTTATTTACTCTAAATATTCAAACTTTAGTCAGTGACTTCAAATGGTAAACAAATACTGTAACACCAGTTGATATTAAAACTGGATTTTTTTTTCTTTTTAAAATTTTAGGTGACATTTGATCCAGAGGTATTCTTCAACATTTTGCTGCCTCCAATTATTTTCCATGCTGGGTACAGTCTCAAGAAGGTAAGACGTTTTTACCACCAATTTCTTAAAGCGTGTGACTCTCTGTGCTAATTTACCTGCATAATTTAGTTTTTCTCTTCTCCCAGATTGCTTATTACCATGTTCTGCACCCACTCAGAGACTTCAGTTGACTCATTACCAGTGACTCATTTCTGTTGTAAAATCTGAGGCTCTCATACATTACCAGTGGGAACATTAAATGGTACAGAGACTCTGGAAAACAAGTTGAAATTGCTGCAAGACCTAGAAACGTCCTGCCTAAAGATTGATCTCAGAGAAATGAAAAATTCCGTTCACACGAAAACCTTAATAATGGTGCTGCTTACAGCCTGACCTCATAGATTGAAGACAGATGCCCCTGAGTCCCCTTGTCACTCAGTCATGGTCACAGTGAAGGAGGCTGAAATGGGGAGAGCCTAGGAATCTGGACCTGCCAAGGTTACCTCTTCTGCTCAGAGTAGAGGCTAGAGGAGCCAGAACAGATCCCCCATCTTACCCAAGGGCGTCAAGACTACAAGTAAGGGTCAAGTCTGTTTTCCCTTCCAGAGATCAAGTGACCCCTTGATGTCTTACTGTACCACCTTCAGGGTGCAGGGAATGGGGGAGAGGAATTGGACATAAATCCCCTCTCCACCATGGGTGCTTGAAAAGCAGAAGGCTGTGTGTTTCTGCACATCAGCCTGCCACATCTGTGCACTCACATGTGGAGTGTCCTGCATTTTACTGATGAGGAAACTAACCTCAGAATGATTCATGGTGCGTGTGAGGTTATACAGTGGTATGCTACTGAATCAAGGGTATGCCCTCTCTGACTTCAGGGCCAAGTGGTGTTCCTTTGTACTCTGTTGCTTCTAGGAGCAAGTTTTCTATACAAAAGAAGAAAAACTCGTTTTCCTAACTTAGTTGGGAGGTTGCCAAATTCATCTGAATCTGTGTGTCATTTATTGACATGTGATACATAGATGGTTATTATGGGTGTAAATAATGCTAGTCTTCACTTAAAGGGAGAACTTGGGATCTTCAGGGCCCATGGATGATGAAGAATTCAGTATTTTAAATAGCTATTCTTAATGTATAATCATAGCTGTTTTAAAATGAAACCAAATCGTGGGTTGTGAAAGCCACTCTAATGGTTGATGAACAACTTAGTTTTTTTTAATAACCTCCCCTTTGTCAGCCTTATTTTCTCCAAAGAAAAGCAAATAACAAGCTCTGCCGGTTCCCAATTTAAGTGATTTTGGAAATGCTAACCTTTCAGGTTATCATCTATTAGTTTAGACTATTTCCTTTTAAAATATTATTCACAGAGGCACTTAAATAGTTGATTCTGATGATTGCTATCTCTGATTAAGCCTGTTGTCAATTAAATGTTTAATAAACATTTCCTCCACTTAAATGATGGTCTGTAGATAGCTATATTCAGACACTCTGACTAATACACAAATACCTGTATGCAGACCTGGTTTTTTTTTTTTTGAAAGCTTTTGTTTAATAAACATAGATTTCATAGGTAGAGCTTTTGGAATATAGCAGTTCTTCCTCCCATACCCTCCCTCCCACTCCTAAACCATCCCACCTCCTACTCTCTCTCCCATCCCATTCTTCATCAAGAATCATTTTATCTTTATATGCAGAAGATCAACTCTATACTAAGCAAAGATTTCAACAGTTTGTACCCACACAGACACACAAAATATAAAGTACTGTTTGAAGATTAGTTAATTCTCATAGTACAGCTCATTAAGGACAGAGGTCCAACGTGGGGAGCAAGTACACGGTGACTCCTGTTGTTGATTTAACAATTGACACTCTTATGTATGACGTCAGTGATCCCCCGAGGCTCTTGTCATGAGCTGCCTAGGCTATGGAAGCCTTTTGAATCCACAAACTCCATCAGTAATTAGACAGGGCCATAATCAAAGTGGAAGTTCTCTCCTCCCTTCAGAGAAAAGCACATCCTTCTTTGATGGCTGGGCCTTTTTTTTTTTTTTTTTTTTTTTTTTTTTTTGACAGGCAGAGTGGACAGAGAGAGAGACAGAGAGAAAGGTCTTCCTTTTGCCGTTGGTTCACCCTCAAATGGCCGCCGCAGCCTGCGCGCTGTGGCTGGTGCACCGCGCTGATCGGAAGGCAGGAGCCAGGTGCTTCTCCTGGTCTCCCATGGGGTGCAGGGCCCAAGCACTTGGGCCATCCTCCACTGCACTCCCTGGCCACAGCAGAGAGCTGGCCTGGAAGAGGGGCAACCGGGAAAGAATCCGGCGCCCCGACCGGGACTAGAACCCGGTGTGCCGGCGCCGCAAGGCAGAGGGTTAGCCTATTGAGCCGGGGCGCCAGCTTGGGCCTTTTTTATAACTTGGATTTTTGTGCGATTACTCATGCTCGTGGCTTGCTAATAGGACTCTGAAAAGGAAAGAACTCACCTCCTGAACCCTTCATTTTGGGCTCGCTCACTCAGTCCCTCACTCAACATGTTAAAACTTGTTGGGGCCAGCGCCATGGCTTACTTGGCTAATCCTCCACCTGCAGCGCCGGTACCCCGGGTTCTAGTCCTGGTTGGGGTTCCAGGTTCTGTCCTGGTTGCTCCTCTTTCAGTCTAGCTCTCTGCTGTGGCCCAGGAGGGCAGTGGAGGATGGCCCAAGTGCTTGGGCCCTTGCACCTGCATGGGAGACCAGGAACAGGCACCTGGCTCCTGGCTTCGGATCGGCGCAGCGCCGGTCATAGTGGCTGTTAGGGGAGTGAACCAATGGAAGGAAGACCTTTCTCTCTGTCTCTCTCTCTCACTGTCTAACTCTGCCTGTTAAAAAAAAAAAACTTGTTGGTAAAGGGGAGAATATAGGATTTTCAAAACCAAGAAGTAAGAATGTAAGACTTAGAATGGTATAGCTAGGAATTAAGATTTTGGATGGAGAGAGGGAGAGGGAGAGAGAGAGAGAGAGAGGAGAAAGGAAGAGAGAGGGGAAGAGAGTATTCTTATCTACTGGTTTACTCCCTGGATATCTCTAATGGCCAGGGCTGGCTGGGACCAAAGCCCAGAACCAGAAACTCAATCCAAGTCTCCCATGTAGGTGGTGGGAACCCAATTGTGCCATCAGCACTCCTCAGCGGGTCTACATTGGCAGGAAGCTGGGGTCAGGAGTCAGGGGTGGAACTCAAACCTGAGCCCTCTGATGTAGGACACAGGTGTCTTAACTCCTCCAGGCGTAGATCCCTGAAGGGCTTTCCACAGCCTGGCATCATCTCCTTTTGTCTCTTCTTACTGTTCTCTGAGGGAGAAAAGTAGAGAGGACTGAGTCAGTTGTGGCTATATTGTAGCCAGCTAAGCATATGGGACTAAAGATCTAGGATTTCACTCAGTACCTCCTGCCCTTCATTCCCCAGAGGGAAGTGGTGGGAATGGAGGAGTTCCGTAGCAGGGTAGCTTATGTAGTGAGAGTGCAGTGCGCTGGGGTAAGGAAACTGGCTGTGCAGTTAGTTCTGGGGCTGCGGTTTAGTGGACATGTGACTGACTTTAGGCAGCTCATGTTGTCTCTCTGAGCCTTCGGTTTCTCTTATACAAGATGGTCCAGATAACACTTTCCTGATGGGGTGGTTGTGAGAATTGGGTGGGCTAACATGTGGGAGAGTACTTTGTGAACTATGAAGTAAGTATACATTTAAGTACAAGGTGTGATACACAAATAAGGAATAGATCTCTTCAAGGTTCAAGAACATTTCAGTTCACATCAGCAGATGTGAATTCAGGATGAGTAATTGTGTGTGTGTCTGTGTGTGTGATTTTAGAATATATTATGAATGTGATTTTGGTGGCAGATTATATTCCTGATTTTTTACTTCGGCTAATGCCATGAACATGAATCTATCTGATGCATATTCAAACTCACCAGGGGATTATCACTCCCAAAGAGAGCTGAGCAGCAGGGCACATCTGGGAGGGAAATTTATTTCTGGATATTTCACATGCTTGTCATTGGTCTCATGCCGTGAACTAGCACTCCCTGACCTCAGTTTGTGGTGGAGCTTTCGGTGGGTTCACAATTGTTGGCTTTTTTCAAGTCTGATTTTTGAAAAAGAATTGGTGTATAAATGTATTAGATTAAGGCCGGCGCCGTGGCTCAATAGGCTAATCCTCCGCCTTGCGGCGCCGGCACACCGGGTTCTAGTCCCGGCCGGGGCGCCGGATTCTGTCCCGGTTGCCCCTCTTCCAGGCCAGCTCTCTGCTGTGGCCCAGGAGTGCAGTGGAGGATGGCCCAAGTGCTTGGGTCCTGCCCCCCATGGGAGACCAGGAGCACCACCTGGCTCCTGCCTTCAGATTGGCGCGGTGAGCTGGCTGCAGTGTGCCGGCCGCAGCGGCCATTTGAGGGTGAACCAACGGCAAAAGGAAGACCTTTCTGTCTCTCTCTCTCACTGTCCACTCTGCCTGTCCAAAAAAAAAAAAATGTATTAGATTAAAAAGAGACGGACAGTGATTCAGGAGGCAAACATAATGTGTCCATGATACATACAGACAGCGCCCTCATTTGGTGACTGCCAGCATGGCAATCCCTTGAAGGAATCTCTTCTGCACAGCTGGCTTAGGGGCAGTAGGCATCCCTTGACACCTCAGGGCCTCACTCGGGGCAAGCACTGGGGAAGGCTGAGGCCCAGGCCTCAGACCCAGTGTCTTCCATGCAGGCCAGAGGACACCTGCAGCCATTTTTTGGTCATTCTTCTGGTGATTGCCTGGTGCAGGCTGGGTGCTTCCTGTCTTTCCTGGTTGGCAGTTGGCATGCTGGAGCTCTGCCACCTTTTTTTTTAATTTTTAGCTACAGTATTCCTTACCCATGTTTGACGACGGTGTTTGAAGGATTTTTGTCTGTTTTCCCCTCAGAATATACCACAGGCCTAATAACTTGTAAGATGTAAGTGTGTGTGTATTTTATTTTATTTTATTTATTTATTTATTTTGACAGGCAGAGTGGACAGTGAGAGAGAGAGAGACAGAGAGAAAAGTCTTCCTTTGCCGTTGGTTCACCCTCCAATGGCCGGCGCGGCCGGCGCGCTGTGGCCGGCGCACCGTGCTGATCCGATGGCAGGAGCCAGGTGCTTCTCCTGGTCTCCCATGGGGTGCAGGGCCCAAGCACTTGGGCCATCCTCCACTGCACTCCCGGGCCACAGCAGAGAGCTGGCCTGGAAGAGGGGCAACCGGGACAGAATCCGGCGCCCTGACCAGGACTAGAACCCGGTGTGCCGGCGCTGCAAGGCGGAGGATTAGCCTAGTGAGCTGCGGCGCTGGCCAGTGTGTGTATTTTAAGGTAACCAATGAGTGTGCAGAAGCAGTAAGAGGATTGCAGGATTTTTTTTTTTGCCTCTTTCTGAGCTATTGCTAGATCTTATATTGGTGTGAGTTTTGTCCTATATAAACTTGTCTACCTTGAATGGAAGGAACTACCTGCTACTCATTTCTCCACATCCAGCTCTATGGTCCCTCTTGCCCAGGCTCCAAGGATGAATCCAGATGAATATAAGGAGATGCTTCAGGGCCTGAGAACAGGTATTTAGGACTGTGTTTTCTGAAGCCGAATTAAGCAGAAAGCATCTTAGATAGCAATTTTCATACTTGATTTGTTTCCATTGTAAATCTAAAATGATCTTCTAAGGTACCATCAGAACTGGAAGTGGGCTGGCGCTGTGGCTCAATAGGCTAATCCTCTGCCTGCGGCACCAGCACCCTGGGTTCTAGTCCCGGTTGGGGCGCCGGATTCTGTCCCGGTTGCTCCTCTTCCAGGCCAGCTCTCTGCCTGTGGCCAGGGAGTGCAGTGGAGGATGGCCCAAATCCTTGGGCCCTGCACTTGCATGGGAGACCAGGAGAAGCACCTGGTTCCTGCCATCGGATCAGCGCAGTGCGCCAGCCATAGTGCGCTGGCCACAGTGGCCATTGGAGGGTGAACCAACAACGGAAAAGGAAGACCTTTCTCTCTCTCTCTCTCTCTCTCACTGTCCACTCTGCCTGTCAAAAAAAAAAAAAAAAAGAAAAAAGAAAAAAAAAAGAACTGGAAGTGACTAGCTGAATCATGAAGTAGCATACTTGGATTAAATAAATTAAAATGATTGGTTGAGGCCAGCGTTATGGTGTAGCAGGTACAGCTACTCTGTCTGTGATGCCTGCATCCCATATGAGCACCTGTTCTAGACTTCCGATCCAGCTACCTGCTAATGCACCTGGGAAAGCAGCAGAATATGGCCCAAGTGCTTGGGCCCCTGCACCCACGTGGGAGACCCAGATGAAGCTCCTGGCTCCTGGCTTCAGCCTGGCCCAGCCCTGGACATTGTGGCCATTTGGGGAGCAAGCCAGTGGATGGAAGAATTTTTCATTCTCTCCCTGTCTCCCTGTCTCCCTCTCTCTCCCTCCCTCTCTCCCTCTCTCCCTCTTTCCCTCTTTCCTTCTCTCCCTCTCCCCCCTCCATCCTCCTTCTCTCCTCTCTGTAGCTGCGCCTTTCAAATAAATAAAAACCAGATCCTTTAAAAAATGATTGGTCTAAACCTCAGCTTTAAGTGAAGTGAGCACTGATGCTGGAAACCTGCTTGACAAACTCCCCCTTTTCCTTTAAAAATTCTCTTACTACTTTGTAAATTGGGAACAGCATATTTGGGACTAAAGTGACTGCCTTCCCCTGGGTGGCCACTTGAATAAACCTGTTTCCTTGCATCAAAAAGAAAATGATTGGCCTATTTACATCTCCTAGTACACATTGTGTGCATGCATGCGTGTGTACACACACACACACACACATGCGCACGCACGCACTTGCTGTAATTTTATATAATCAGCCTGAGTAGTTTTTATTGAAAACTTAGTCATACCTTGCTTATTTTCTCAGTGATTGGAAGTGCAGAGGATATTTTAAAACCATGACGTTTTAGGCTAAGTGGCCTTATTCAGGAGTGATTTCAGTTCTCTCTTGATGTAATGGAGGAAGTAAGTAGTTTCACTTTTCAGAGAATGTTAATATGTTTCTCGCATTCACTGTCAGACAATCACAATGTAATTCCTGTTCTTTTGTTTTATTCAGAGGCACTTTTTCAGAAATCTTGGGTCTATTCTGGCCTATGCCTTCTTGGGGACTGCTGTTTCCTGCTTCATTATTGGGTGAGTGAACCTTTGTCACATGAGCAAATCAGCATCCTTTCCAAAGGGATGAGATCCACATGGATGCACAGAGTCAGTATTTTTGATGTTTTTCATGATGGTAGTTAGAATGGACAGTTACACTGTCCAGTATGATAGCTATTAGTTGCATGTGCATAGTTAAATTAAAATTTAGGTTCATTAGGAACAGGCATTTGGTGTAGTAGCTAACTAAGACACTAATGCCTGCATTCCATGTCAGGGTGCCTGGGTTGGAGTCTGGGTTCTGCTTCTAGTTCCAGCTTCTTGCTAATGTGCATTGTTGGAGGCAGCAGGTGTTGGCTCAAGCAGTTAGATATCTGCCACCCAACTGGGAGACCTGGATTGAGCTCTTGGCTCCTGGCTTTGGCCAGGTCCAGCCCAGGCCAAACATTGTGGACATTGGGGAGTGAACTGACAGATGGAAGATCTCAATATCTCTCCCTGTCCCCGCCCCTGTCCCTGTCCCTCTCCCTCATCTCTTAGTGCCCGAAAGTAAGGAAGTACACAGAAGACAAACAGAAGGATGTGGGTCATGTCAGAGGGACACAAGAAAAAAACGTGTAAAGCCACTGTTTTCTTCCTTTCCATACTTTACTCTTCAGAAGTCACTGTGTGCAGCCCATATGCAAAGCAGGGTGGGAAGGGCTAAGCTACATCAAGGTTAACATTAGCAGTGATAAGCCGTGATGACAGTGTGTACCCTTGATGTATGATAAGGATACTTGACTGCTCTTGTCTTCCACCCAAAAACATATTACCTCAATGGACCCATGAGATAAAAATTAGGCAAAGCTGAACTGTAGGGCATTATACAAAATATCTGACTGGTACTCCTCAAAAATTGGTAGGCAGTGACACAGTCCTCACCACAGAGAGTCTCATTATTAAGAGGGTTGGCTGTAGGCTACCATGAGTCAGTTCCCTGACTGTTTTCACTCCCCTAACCCCTACAGCTGCTGCTACCACAGGCATACATGCACATATGTACCACACTTTAAAAAAAAAAAGATTTATTTATTTGAAAGGCAGAGTTATAAAGAGGCAGAAGCAGAGAGAGAGAGAGAGGATCTTCCACTCACTGGTTCACTCCCCAAATGGTTGCAATGGCCAGGGCTGGGCCAGGCCTAAGCCAGGAGCCTGGAGCCAGGAGCTTTTTCTGGGTCTCCCATGTGGGTACAGGGACTCAAGCACTTGGGCTGTCCTCTGCTGCTCTCCCAGGCACATTAGCAGGGAGCTGGATTGCAAGTGTAGTAGCCAGAACTCAAACTGGTGCCCATATGGGATGTTGGCTCTGTGGGCATCAGCTTTACCTGCTATGCCGCAGTGCCAGCCCCCACACTTTTGTAATATGTGCACCAGGCCTTTTAATACTCCCCACTCCTCCCACTGTGTAAGCTGTAGGAAATGTGCTCCAGCCAAGCTGAAGATGTAACTTCGATGTAACTTCGATCCTTCTTAGATCACGTCATATCCTGCACAGCATAAGAAGGGGTGCTGCGGGCCTACCTGGCTCGTGCGAAGAGTGAGAGGCCAGATGCCTGTGTTTAGAGAGATTGGCCTCTTTCCTCTTTGAGATAATCTTTGACAGAGGAGGCAGTAATAGGTCAATCACTGGGATCTGTGTGATAAGCCCATTTTTTTTTCCTCTGCAGCTTCCAGTCCAGTCGTTTCCATGACTTTAAATATACTGTTTTAGAACCTTGGAGTTTTGCAGCAATTGATTGCACATTGTATGGATTTCTCTCTGACCCAGTTGCTTAAGATGCCTTTTCTTGTTGCTAATTAAACACCTTACTTCATTGCTGCTGTCGTTGTTAGTGAACATGCCTTTTAAAAATAAAAAGTTCAGGGGCTTCAACAAGATGACCTTAACCACAGACCATTACTTGGTACTGAGGTCCTGTTTGCCTGTGTTCCTGGGAAGTGTGCATCCATAGCAGCTGCCTGGTGGTTTCATAGATCTCCCTTCCAAGTACAGTGTGCTAGGCTGCTTGAGTTATCTTCACCTGACAGGTTTACCTTGCCTTCTTATAGAAATCTCATGTATGGTGTGGTGAAGCTCATGAAGATTGTGGGACAGCTCTCAGACAAATTTTACTACACGGATTGTCTCTTTTTTGGAGCAATTATCTCTGCTACTGACCCGGGTATGTCCATATTTGGTTTAATCATTATGATTTTCTGTTACTGAGATCTTGGAGAATTTGGGGCAATCATTAACTTTGGTTGCAATAGGGAGACTGTAGTATTAACATGGAATGGTAGAGGAAGTGACTGGTAGGAGAGTTGAATAAATGTAGACAGCCATTCTGAGAATGGTATACATTTCCCTTTTATTGTTGTTGTGGTGGTGGTGGTAGAATGCACAACATAAAATTTGCCATTTCTGCATGTATAACTCATTAGTGTTAAGTCTGTTCACAGTGCTGTGCAACCAAGCTCCAAATGTTTTTCATCTTGCAAAATTGAAACTCTACTCATTGAACACAACCCCTTCCTATTCTCAGCCCCTGGAAACCACCGTTGTACTTTCTGTTTCTATGAACTTGCTTACTCTAAGATCCCTTGAATAAGCAGAATCATGGTATTTGTCCTTGGGTATCTGGCTTATTTCATATTTAGCTTGACATTCTCAAACTTCATTTGTGTTATAGCATATGTCATAATTTCTTTCTTTTTCAGGCTGAAGAATAATCCATTGTATGTCTATACTACATTTTGTTTATTCATTCATCTGTCACTAGGCCCTTGGGTTGTTTACACTGGTATTTCCTTTTGCTTTTTATTTTAAATGACTAATTCGGTCATAATTTTTACAATTAGACTGTTTTCTTTTTCAGTGTTGTGCTTTTGCCCTCTTTTAGGAAACATATAATTTAGTTTAAATAATACCTTTTCTTAGTGGAAACACATGGGTACCTATAGTGAGTGTAATTTAATTTGTAATCACCTTTTGTGCTGCGTTCTTGCATGATTGCACACTGTGATGTGGTTTCTTAGTCATAAATCTCTTACCTTGTTTTTTCAAGTGTTAGTTGAACCAGTTCTTAAAAGTGGAATTATTACGTGCCACACCTTCCTCACAGCTCAAAAACAAAAAGCTCTCCTCTGTGTTGGAACTTACAATGAAATCTGTTTGCATAAAGCAGATACAGCTATTCTTTTCTCCAGTGCCAACAATTGAGGGTATGGCCAGCCCTTCATGTCTGCAGCTTTTGCTTCCTTGGGTTCAACCAACTGCAGATTGGAAATATTGGGAAAAACATTCGTATTTGTACTGAGCATGTACAGACTATTTCTCCCCTTGATATTATTCCCTAAACAACACAGTATATTAACTGTGTACAGGGCCAGCATTGTGGTACAGTGGGTTAGGCTGCTTCTTGTGATGCCAACATCCCATATCAGAATATTTGGTCCCGGATGCTTTGCTTCGGATCCAGCTCCCTGCAAATGTGCCTGGGCAGGCAGTAGAAGGTGACCCAAGTGCTCGGGTCCCTGCCAGTCACATGGGAGATCTGGATGGAGCTCCAGGCTCCTGGCTTCATCCTGGCCCAGCTCTGGCTGTTGTAGCCATTTGGGGAGTGAACCAGTAGATGGAATATTCTCTCCCTCTCTTCCTCTCTCCCTCTCTCTCTCACATACACACATACACACTCACTTTCTCTGCCTTTCAAATAAAATCTTTGAAAAATAATTACTGTATATATAGCATTTACATTGTATTAGGTATTATAAGTAATCTAGACATGATATAAAGTATAGGGGAAGATGTGTGTAGCTTCTGTGTGAATGCTATGCTATCTCATATAAGCGACTTGAGCATCTGCAGATTTTAATATCCTTGGGGGGATCCTGGAACCAATGCCCCATGGATGCCAGGACAAGATCATCATATATCTTTTTTTTTTTATCTTTTATTTAATGAATATAAATTTCCAAAGTATGTCTCATGGGTTACAATGGCTTTCCCCCCCATACCGTCCCTCCCACCCACCACCCTCCCCTTTCCCACTCCCTCTCCCCTTCCATTCACATCAAGATTCATTTTCGATTATCTTAGTATACAGAAGATCAGCTTAGTATACCTTAAGTAAGGATTTCAACAGTTTGTTCCCACACAGAAACATAAAGTGAAAATAATAGATGATTTTTTTTAAATGATGATGAAATCAGATCAGACCTATTGTCATGTTTAATCCCAGTGAGAGTCAAGTTGGGAATTGATAGTTTCTTTTCTTTTTTTTTTTTTTAACAGAAGATCAGTTTAGTGTACATTAAGTAAAGATTTCAACAGTTTGCACCCCCATAGAAACACAAAGTGAAATATACTGTTTGAGTACTCGTTATAGCATTAAGCCTCAGTGTACAGCACATTAAGGACAGAGATCCTACATGAGGAGTAAGTGCACAGTGACTCCTGTTGTTGACTTTACAAATTGACACTCCTGTTTATGGCATCAGTAATCTCCCTATGCACCAGTCATGAGTTTCCAAGGCTATGGAAGCCCTCTGAGTTCTCCGATTCTTATCTTGTTTAGACAAGGTCATAGTCAAAGTGGAGGTTCTCTCCTCCCTTCAGAGAAAGGCACCTCCCTCTTTGAAGACCTGTTCTTTCCACTGGGATCTCACTCACAGAGATCTTTTTGCCAGAGTGTCTTGGCTTTCCATGCCTGAAATACTCTCATGGGCTTTTCAGCCAGATCCGAGTGCCTTTAGGGCTGATTCTGAGGCCAGAGTGCTATTTAGGACATCTGCCATTCTATGAGTCTGCTGAGTATCTCACTTCCCATGTTGGATCACTCTCCCCTTTATTTATTCTATCGGTTAGTGTTAGCAGATACTAGACTTGTTTATGTGCTCCCTTTGACTCTTAGTCCTTTCATTATGATCAATTGTGAACTGAAATTGATCACTTGGAATAGTGAGATGGCATTGGCACATGCCACCTTGATGGGATTGAATTGGAATCCCCTGGTATGTTTCCAACTCTACCAATTGGGGCAAGTCAGCCCGAGCATGCCCCAAATTATACATCTCTTCCCTCTCTTATTCCCACTTTTATGTTTAACAGGGATCACATTTCAGTTAATTTTCAACACTTAAGAATAACTGTGTGATAATTACAGAATTAAACCAGTCATATTAAGTAGAACAGACAAAAAAAAAAATACTATGAGGGATAATGTATTAAGTTGTCCATTAGCAGTCAGGGCTATGCTGATCAAGTCACCATTTCTCATAGTGTCCATTTCACTTCAGGAGGTTTCCTTTTTGGTGTTCAGTCAGTTGTCACCGATCAGGGAGAACATATGGTATTTGTCCCTTTGGGACTGGCTTACTTCACTCAGCATGATGTGTTCCAGATTCCTCCATTTTGTTGCAAATGACTGGATTTCGTTGTTTCTTACTGCGGTATAGTATTCTAAAGAATACATATCCCATAATTTCTTTATCCAGTCTACCATTGATGGGCATTTAGGTTGGTTCCAGGTCTTGGCTATTGTGAATTGTGCTGCAGTAAACATTAGGGTGCAGACCTCTTTTTTCTTTATCAATTTAAACTCCTTTGGGTAAATTCCAAGGAGTGGGATGGCTGGGTCGAACGGTAGGGTTATATTCAGGTTTCTGAGGAATCTCCAGACTGATTTCCATAGTGGCTTAACCAGTTTGCATTCCCACCAACAGTGGGTTAGTGTCCCTTTTTCCCCACATCCTCGCCAGCATCTGTTGTTGGTAGATTTCTGTATGTGAGCCATTCTAACCGGGGTGAGGTGAAACCTCATTGTGCTTTTGATTTGCATTTCCCTGATTGCTAGTGACCTTGAACATTTTTTCATGTGCCTGTTGGCCATTTGGATTTCCTCTTTTGAAAAATGTCTATTGAAGTCCTTGGCCCATCTCTTAAGTGGGTTGTTGGTTTTGTTTTTGTGGAGTTTCTTGATCTCTTTGTAGATTCTGGTTATTAACCCTTTATCTGTTGCATAGTTTGCAAATATTTTTTCCCATTCTGTCGGTTGTCTCTTCACTCTCCTGACTGTTTCTTTTGCAGTAAAGAAACTTCTCAATTTGATGCAATCCCAATAGTTGATTTTGGCTTTGACTGTCTGTGCCTCCCGGGTCTTTTCCAGAAATTCTTTGCCTGTGCCAATATCTTGAAGGGTTTCTCCAATGTTCTCTAATAACTTAATGGTGTCAGGACGTAGATTTAGGTCTTTAATCCACGTTGAGTGGATTTTTGTGTAAGGTGTAAGGTAGGGGTCTTGCTTCATGCTTCTGCACGTGGAAATCCAGTTTTCCCAGCACCATTTATTGAATAGACTGTCCTTGCTCCAGGAATTAGTTTTAGATCCTTGATCAAATATAAGTTGGCTGTAGATGTTTGGGTTGATTTCTGGTGTTTCAATTCTGTTCCATTGGTCTATCCATCTGTTTCTGTACCAGTACCATGCTGTTTTGATTACAACTGCCCTGTAGTATGTCCTGAAGTCTGGTATTGTGATGCCTCCGGCTTTGTTTTTGTTGTACAAGATTGCTTTAGCTATTCGAGGTCTCTTGTGCCTCCATATGAATTTCAGCATCATTTTTTCTAGATCTGCGAAGAATGTCTTTGGTATCTTGATTGGGATTGCATTGAATCTATAAATTGCTTTTGGGAGAATGGACATTTTGATGATGTTGATTCTTCCAATCCATGAGCATGGAAGATTTTTCCATTTTTTGGTATCCTCTTCTATTTCTTTCTTTAAGGTTTTGTAATTTTCATCGTAGAGATCTTTAACGTCCTTGGTTAAGTTTATTCCAAGGTATTTGATTGTTTTTGTAGCTATTGTGAATGGGATTGATCTTAGCAGTTCTTTCTCAGTCATGGCATTACTTGTGTATACAAGGCTGTTGATTTTTGTGCATTGATTTTATATCCTGCCACTTTGCCAAACTCCTCTATGAGTTCCAATAGTCTCTTAGTAGAGTTCTTTGGATCCTCTAAGTACAGAATCATATCGTCTGCAAAGAGGGATAGTTTGACTTCTTCCTTCTCAATTTGTATTCCTTTGATTTCTTTTTCTTGTCTGATGGCTCTGGCTAAAACTTCCAGAACTATGTTAAATAGCAGTGGTGAGAGTGGGCATCCCTGCCTGGTGCCAGA